CTACATAAAAATCTGACGCTTATAAAAAACTGACATCATGGAGGAGACCCATCCAGGATAAGATCGAAAAGACAACAAACTTCACATGACGCTATACTGGTTTCTTAGTTTCTAATAGGCCATTTGCATGATGGCGTAACTTTACTACAACTACCAGAAAGCCTTGCGCATTTTCTTTGTTATTCAGATTTTTAATCCCCTTRGCGATTAGTAAAACAATTGGCACTAATTACATTACAAAAGAAAGTGGGCAAAGCATTCTGGTAGTTGTAGTAAATGACGCCATAATGCAAATCGCCTATTATGTGACATATTTCGTCTATTTAATGTCGCGCTAGGCCCCTTCACGACAATTTCTGGAAAACATCATCTGCTCGTTGGCAGTTAGCGGTAGCTATGACTAGTACTTTAAGCGGCGTTTTTTTGTTGTTTAGGTGTCTACCTTACCGATCTTCCACCATCGACACCCAACAATATACTTCTGGTAAACAACTACGGCAACGCACCGAAAGAAAACGATGCAAATAATGTGTCGCATGCTGTAGAGATTAAGGTTCCTCCGAACAAGATGCAAAATTTTGAAACTCAATCCAGTTCACGTCAAGTGTACAAGCATAAGGGAGACCTTCATTTGAAAGATTACGATGGAAAAGTCTATAAGAGATAAAACCACCACAGACTCTCAGACCAAATGCCAAGAAAGTCATAATTAAATTGTTTCAAAGCTATTGTATAGATGACTAGATATCACAGTTATTATTTTCACTAGTTAAAATAACACATTCGGGGTTTCTCTATATTCTCTATATAGTGGAAGTAAGAAAAAAGCTACGCTCACTCGTGTGAGATCTTTTCAACACTCGAAGATAAAATTCGTATCTCCGCGCGCCCATGTAATATCCTCTGTTTCTTAATTTTTAAAATCATATTACAGCTGCAGAGCAAGATTCCMATTTGAAGAAAAAGCAGATTCTCATTACTGTAAAATAAGTTCTTTTAACAAAAAAAGAGTGCAAGACATTATTTTCCTTTGTTTATAATTAGTACTGTACACTAGAGTACTTTAAAAATGAATGTTTTTGGTGGAGATCGGGGTGAGGTCAGGACAGTAGCTAGTAAGAGGCCAACCGAGGCACTCGCCTCGGTTGAAATTTTGCCAATCGCAAAATTAAAATACAAAAGAAAGTGTTCGGCTTCAGTGGTCGTGTTTTCTTTTAATGTATTCCTAATTTCCTAAATCCCTAAAAATCAGGACAACGTTTTCGTAATTAGGTGTATATATATTAATCGGCTTGATATGAATGTGAAGACCGCATCAGTGTAACTATGATAAACACGATATAGAAATGAAAGAAAGTTATAGTGCTTAGAAGGAGGCAATTCCGGGAGAAAGTCCCTTAGGAATAAATTCGGAAAAATTAATTTCCGACCTCGCTGGGACTCGAACTCACGACCTTCGGGTTTGTACTACCGATGCTCTACCAGCTGAGCTACAAGGCCAGACTGGGAGCAGGTCGGGGTGAAATAGATGTTAGTTTGCGGTAATAGAATAATGTAAAGATATGAATATGAAGATTATATTAATCTTGTACTTATAATAGCTTCTTGGTTTCATAAATATATTGCATGATAAATTCCGGTAACCTGTTGAATAAAGAGTTACTAAAACGGGATGAGTGCGTAAGTTAACTACCTTTTATATATGAACCTGTTTACTTCCCAAAAGTAGGTTCTTATATGCGGGTTTCTACTGTATACAGCAATGATTCAATACTTATTTTATGTTATGTTTTTTTTTGTGTGTATCTTAATACGTGAAATATCGCTATTACAAAAAATAAAATAAAATACTGAAATGGAGACGCGTGAGTCAAGAGATGATTGTCTGACCCTTCGTCTTTTTGAGCAAATATTCCAACATGGAATCCTCGTGGGTTTAGACATAACTAGATCACACTGGTTGCCGCACATTTGTATACGTTCAAGTTTTAGAAGTATACTTAACTAATGGCTAGCCTGATAAGGCACAAAGGTCTGGTATGAACATTTGTGAATGGGCTGCCTGTGTTTTCAGTGAATTCTCGGAAGTGCGTCATACTTTTGGTTACATGATAAGACTTGTAAGTTAGATTCTTCAATTCTGTTAATTTTGCTTGCCTCTAGAGCAATGTACGAATTTCCTTTGTTAATCATTTGCTTGTTGATCTTAATAGTATTTATCTGGTGGATGCCCAAAGAGGTAAGAGAAACAAAATAGTTGAAATGATAATTTTGACCGCGATGTTTCCGGTTAGGCAAAGTCTCGCAAAATAACAAGAAAACAGTAAGAAATCGCTCAAATAATTTCCGTTGAATTCCAATTCTGAACAAATCATTAATTGCTAACGGTTGGATACCACATTTCTTAGTATTGTATTTTCACGCGCGTCATGTTCTGATAAAAGACACCATAATATGGAGAACTAAAAACGATCATCAGATCTTAGTCGTTTTATGCACTGAAACGTTTCAGACTATATTACTAATTTGTACAAAAAAATCAATTCCATATTCTCAAAGAATGCATAGTTAGCACGACTACGTCTCCCTGAAATTTCGTTGAAATGAGTACTGAATATGTTATAGCAATCCATTCGTCAGAAATTTGAAAGTGATTCGTCAGCAGTTTTATATATGCCGTTTTGAAAAATGATATGGGAATTATAAAGAAAGGACGACAGAAATATTACTAAAAAATCCCGTTTCAAGATTACTTTCACACCATTTTTTAATACTATTCTTTCCTCGTTTGAGTAATCTTCCGAATTGATGGCATCGAGTCTTTCTTTCTTGTTTTTAGAAGTATTTCTATCATTACACTGATGAGAGGGGTGCATATGGGATATTAAGCAGTGGCATAATCAAGGAATCAACAGATACTCAAAGAGACGCAATTCTTGGAAAAGGTAAAACCATTTATTATAATATTTCTTTTTAAAACTCGCACATCAGCCTGTAGCTCTTTGCTCCCTCCTCTAAATCTCAGGCTGAACCTTGAATTCTGGACTCGACGCTTGAACAGGCACAGCGTATGGACTTCTGCTATTACGGACAGGAAATAAATAAGTAAATCCTTTCTCGGGTTAGAACACATCATAGCGCAGCCTCGTTGCAAGAGTATTTTCCCTAGACCGAGGTTAGTCATATAGCGTTTCGCGCCACGCGTTTCTGATCTATTTCCCTCTAGTGAAGTTTATATTCTATTTGATTCACCCATTTATTTACGGTGGTTTTAGGTGTCTATGTCACCGATCTGCCACCAAGGACACTCGACAACCAACTTCTGGTCAACAACTACGACGGCGCTACGAAAGCAGGGGATACAAATAATGTATCATACTGTGTACAACTGGTGGCTCGTGGGTTGCAGATAAACAGATTTATGAAAGACCTATTGACGGGACGTCAAGTGTACAAGCATGAGGGCGACATTATGCTGAGTGAATACAATGTACAAATTTTTCGAAGAGCATGAAACTGGAACACTTGAAAGATATTGCTGATATTATAACTTTTTAGTATTATAGTGAAAGAAACTGAATGACTGTAATGGCAGTGATTTTTGTGTTATTATTTTAACCTCCGAAACTTATCCGACTAAATCCGGCTCGGTGCGGGAGACTGAGTGCAACGATACTACGTCACTATATAAGCAACCGCATGCAGAGTTGATCAAATTACAAAGATGAGCACATTATTTATAGGCACTTTTAACACTTTTTATTGATTTCCACGAAAGAATGACCATCGTGATTCATTTTAGGAACAAAAAAATCACTAGTAACTCGCAAATGATCCATAAATCTCCTAATTTCTTGGAAGTTCAAAATCCCATGGCCATATCCCTACTTGTTGTCAGTATCACGAATCCCTACATATCTAACAGGGCTTCCAAACATTCTTCGGCCAAAGGCAAGCAAGCAAGCAAACAAACAAATTAAATTGAATACGAGCTTGAAAACTGTAAATCTTATGTAATGTCTATTTGAAAATATGAACACAACAATACATAGCTGAGATAAGAAGGTTGTCTACTCTCAATGCACAAAGAACAAAGCATCATGGGGAAGCCGAGTTGTTGCATTCTCATTTCCTCTCCGCTAAAGTACTCTTTTTTAAAAGAGGCTTTACAAATTTATTATTTTTCCAAGAAAAAAACTGGATTCTGATAAATATTTTAGTGATACAAAGGAGTACCCATTATGCTTTGTTTTAGAAAATGGGCTCGATACGCAGGATAACAAATTCACAATAACAAAGTCACTCGCTAACCAGGGAACGTTTTCAAACACATTCACGACAGTATTACACTGTTATTTTGTAACATTATTATTCTAGCATTTCAAAATTCTTGTTATAATCGGGAAATTGTATTCTATCTGCGAATATAAATGTCATATGGCCAACCTTTTCAAAGCTATGTTCATCAGATATCAACGTTTCTCTGCTAGGTCTGATACCTACAAATATTTATATCTTCAAACTGTGTCTTACCCCCGATTCGGTTTTTTTATGGACTTCAATAAACATTTAAGACCGAAAGAACGGTTCACTTTTCTAAAACAGTACTATATAGCGAGTTTCCGCATTTTGTTTAAATCTCTTCCTTTCAAAATTATTTTCCTTTGGTGCTTTAGGATTAGCTGCTTTTCTTTGCTGTTAATTGGCTGATTCTTTTTCTGACATCATCAAGCTGTGACATCATACTCTATAACACAAACATATGAAATGAAATTAAAGAAAGCTCGCTGAAATTGAAAATTTTGCCTAATGCTCTCCTAGTTCTATATCAGATGTTTAGACAATGTATAATACACCAAATTAAAATAGAGTAGTCGGTAGTCGGTAGAGCATGGGAATACAAATATGAGTACAACAATGTTTCAGTAGCAAAAGAGTTGCTTTGCTTTTTGCTTTGAGTTGCACCCTATAGGGCAATCGGGGATCATAGGATTGGAGGAAGACCAAAGTCTATATGGAGGAGTGAGGCAGAGAATGAAAGAAGGAACGGTCTGGTTGCTAGAATGCCGCTCAAAACAATAAGCAGTCTTCGCCGCTATATTGAAAAATTCATTCATTTTTCGGCTGATTCAACCTCAAAATAAGTCCAGGAAGGTTTATACATGCCGCAATTACATAGAACACACAGACCATATCCTCTTTGTATTAGAAATGAATTCTGCAGAAAAACGTGAAGTCTTTGGCAATTAATAACTGTTACTCCAAAACAAATATGTTCTGTATTGATTGATTTCAGTGGAATTAGTTACAGAGGAAATAAGTCATGATGCTGTATTGTCTTATTGCTGACGAGATATAATGACAAAACGACCCTTACCTCTGGTTTGGCCTTGTGGTATTCAGCAAAGACTGCAGTTCGGCTTCTTTTTGTGCAAAATGTTCAATACGATTATCTAAAATAGCAGTTTTCTTTTTCAATTCCAAGATGGCGTTCTTTCGCATTTTGACCTCTAATTCTCTTTTATTCAAAATAGCTTTCTTTCGGCGAGTAAGTTCCAGTTGTTTTCTTTTCTCAGTTTTGAATTGGTCCATCTTTATTCTGATATCATTAAGCTGTGACATCACACTCTGAAACATAAAAAGTGTATTAGAAAAATTATTGTATTATTAAAAAGTGGATTAGAGAGAGCCTGCTACAAAGAACGAATCTGCGCAGTTAAATGACGAATTACTCAAGTCGCCAATGGCAGCATAACTCGAAGATTGATACAGAACGATACATGTACGATGAATCAAATTATAATTACTTAACAATTAGAATTTTAAGTAAACGATTTATGACATGTTTTTCGTTAAAATCCTATTATTTTAACTTCGGTTGTGGATAAGCACGGCGAGTGAGGTCGATCCATTTCCAGCAATTATTTTAAGAATGCTTACTTCGTAACGGTGAATTAAACAACTGAAAGTTGGTTCAATTGAATCCCCGACCAACTATACGGCACCATTGTTTTTATTGACGCTACTAGCGCTACTAGTGTTTGCCAGTTTCCGTATCGGCTCTAAATAGTATTATCGATATCTAACCACACAATAAACGGCTTAGTAGAGGGAAGTCCACTAGCTCCCTAGTTGTTTCACTGAAATAGTTGATACACTGAGCATGCAATAGCCGAATTTGGCATTGCCTGGTATTGTTTTAACACCATAATGCTAAAACACCTACGGTACAACTATAGAATACCCCGCCACTCAAACTCTCACTTGTAGCCGCGGCTACGGCTACGGGTCAGATACACAGGGATACCGAAATATGTATTTCAACAACTTTCTCTATTACTCAATAATATTCTTGGACATTCTAATAGTACTATTTTATGATRCAGAAATTAATAAAGTAGGATGAAGTGTAAGCAAATACTAACAGTTTCAGTATTATCAACCATATCATAATACTTCAGTCAACAGCGCTTTCGCTTGTTTTGACGCAATCCAACCTGGACGATTCCTTTAATTACGAGTGACTTTATACATACTTTATTTTCGATAGAGACTTCTTATTACAATTCTTTTTAAAATGACCGGATCCAATATTAACTTTGAGCATACAACTTAGCGAAAGCGTTCTTAGATAACTTTTACATGTATAGTCAAATAACAATGACTGCTCTCGACTTTACAACACCAATAATTTATTCAAACTTACACCTTCGCGGTCAGTGATCTATTGTTACTAAGAACAATACAGAGGCTTTGTTTCTTCTTCATAAAACATCGCAAAAGCGCAAACATTTACTTAACGCTTAAAACATACATTTTGCCAACGATTCATTTTGACCCGTAGCCGGTGTAGCCATGTAGCCGGCTACGGGTCATAGTGAATTCTTCGTTCTATAAAAGACACAGGAAGACCGGTCACTTCAATTTGACCCGTAGCCGGTGTAGCCATCTAGCCGGCTACGGGTCATAGTGTATTCTTCGTTCTATAAAAGACACAGGAATTCCGGTCACTTCATTTTGACCCGTAGCCGGTGTAGCCATGTAGCCGGCTACGGGTCATAGTGAATTCTTCGTTCTATA